ATCACACATTTATTCATTCATTCAAGTAACTAAATAAATAAGTAAATCTTCTTGAGAGGCCAAGGTGGGTGGATCACCTGAGGTCAGGAGTTCAAGACCAGCCTGGCCAACATGGTGAAACCTGGTCTCTACAAAAAAATTAGCCGGGTGTGGTGGCAGGCACCTATAATCCCAGCTATTTAGGAGGCTGAGGCACAAGAATTGCTTGAACCGGGAGGCAAAGATTACAGTCAACCGAGATTGTCCCATTGCACTCCAGCCTGGGCTGCAGAGCAGAGACTCAGTCTTGAAAAAACAACAACGGAAAAATAGCCGGGGGCGGTGGCTCATGCCTATAATCCTACCACTTTGGGAGGCTGAGGCAGGTGGATCACCTGAGGTCAGGAGTTCGAGACCAACATGACCAACATGGTGAAACCCCCCTTCTCTACGAAACAACACAAAAATTAGCTGGGCATGGTGGCAGGCACCAGTAATCCTAGCTACTCAGGCTGAGGCAGGAAAATCACTTGAACCCGGGAGGCAGAGGTTGCAGTGAGCCAGATCTTGCCATTGTACTCTAGCTGCACAACAGAGCAAGACTCTGTCTCAAAAATAAAAATTAAATAATCTTTACTGAAATTTTTTAAATCTAAATTTAACTGCATCTTTGTAGTATCTCTATTTGGTGAACAAAATATGTTGTAAAATAGAAATTGCCATGTTTTCTCTGCAAGGTAAGAATGTCAGTGTTATGATGATCATACCTTTCAAACTGTATGCCTTTTTAAAAAATGTCTTTTTTTTCACACAGAATGAAGATGTTCGACCACACATCAGAGACAGATTTCGCTTGCATGATTTGCTGCCCCCAGATTAAGTACAAAGACTTGTCAAATCACTGAAGGGGGAGAGAATGCAGGACCCTTTTGGACTAAGACAAAAACATTGCCATTACTGTTGAAATTTTGCATTTTTGTACCCCGTCTTGCTTTTCTTATCTTTGGTGCCCAATAATAATCAAGGGTTACAGAAAGAGACTTTATCTATCTCAGATTGAATACATACAGTAGGTAGGCTAAAACAGAAGAGTCTTTAGAACTAGTGCAACTCCAGTGAAATTTTTTTATGTACAGGACATCTGCAGTTTATAAAGAATTCTGTTTCTGCCACCAGCAGTTTGACCTGTAGACACACAGGATTTTATGATAATAACAGAGATGAAAATGGACTTTTATTTTCTCTCTGTTTGGTGCTCTAAGTGGGTTTGTAGCCACTTTTCTGTTACTTTATGATTCTCATTTCAACAGGAATGGCCAGTAAATGTTGTTTTCTTTTTCCTGTTAAGGTTTATAACCTTTTTACATTTTTGACCTGTATTAGATTAGAATTTCATTATGCATTCCTTTTAGTTGAGGCGCTTCATAGTTTTCTGGAGATAGTCCATTTTTAGTTTTTTATTATACATTTGAATGGCCGTTTTCCTGCTTTGTCTGCCTGCATATTGTATATTTGTTTTAAAATATTCTCTACTTTTAGTCCATGTAAGTTTCATTTAGAAAGACATGCATTTATATTTTGTTTCTGTAATATTCTACTGTAGGTGAAATCTTTTCAAAAATCAAGAGACTGGGTAGATAAGAATATATGAATGACTAATATACAAAAGATTTAAACCATTGTGATGGCGTGTATTCTCAAATGGTAATATCTTGCAATGGCACACAGATTTAATGGATAAAGGTATACCTCAGACTTCACTGTGCTCACAAATCTTTGAGGAGAAAGTTTGGTCACCTGTTTGGCTTGATTTAGTTACTTCTGCCTTTGGTTTTCTCCAGGAATGAAGTATTCAGCACAGTGACTCAGTATTTTTAGTTATTTTGCATGGGCTGGTAGTACCTCTGTTATGCTCTCAGTTACAATCAATTTAAAACTGTGTAACAGTCTTGGTACCTAACAGTAGCTATGCATAATCCTGTGGCACAGTACACTCCCAAGCCACCAATGCAGTTAATATGCTCTCATAGTGGTTTTTCTATGCTATATGAAAATAGTCTTCAAGCCTTGGTTCTCAAATGCAGCTACCACAAGAGGTTGATATTTTTATAGTGGCGTGTAATCTCCTTTTCGGGAGGCTTTTTATGGAAGGTAGAATTTGTAAAAGTTCGTATGCTTTGCCTCTCAACTGCATTAACATGCCACAGGCTCAGACTGTTTTTGTGTAAAGGATGTCAAAGAACGGCACTTTTTCTAAAGAGAAGTTTGATATTTTGTATGCTTGTTAAGAAAGTACAGTATTGGAAATTAAAGGTGGACAACTGATAATTGAGGAGTATGTCAATTAATTTTTTATGTATATTACCTGTTTACTTGTACAACTTACTGTACAAATTACATGCAGCTTCATTTTCAAATGAATCCTTAAAATAAGGAAACCTTTTTAGGAAAACATTTAATTTTTATATCTTTGATTTTAAAGGCATGAGTTATGTCAATTTTCAGTGTATTAATGAAGATTTTAACTTTTCATCAGGTTGAGTGTTTTCTTACTATATTATCTGTTGTGTATGTAGTTAGCATATTGTGTCACTGAACTGTTTAAAAATCTAGCATGTAGAGCAAGCCTGTTTTGTGGAAAATCCTTATTCATTAAAAAAGTAATCATGGCAGATTTTCTGCAAAAAAAAAAAAGCATTTGCAATTTAGAATACTGATTTTTTTAGTTTTATTTAAAGAAAGGTATTTTGCTTGCAGGAAAAAATAGTACAGATTCATTTTAATGAGAATCTTTGAAATGTATTTATCTTTAGGGCATCTGGGCATCTTTATGCTGTTTGTCTTCTGTCTTTCTTGAAATAAAATGTACATACGTTACCTTTACATATGCTCTTGCTGAAAATTGTGAACCTAGTTACATTTCTCCCTGCTCCCTTCCTTTTTATGCTCAAACAGCGAAACCCAAAACTTATATAAGATCTGAACTTTCAGCATGCATTCTGATTGCTGAAAGTTTTCCTGATTTAGTGCATTCTCAAAGGGCTTTCCCATAATTTAAAGGGAAATGTAAGCACCTATCTACTGTGCCTATGGGCACTTCAGTAATAAACACCAACTTTTAAACTAATCATCTTTTATCAATGATAAAGTTGTTTTCAGTCCCATGCTAGGAGAGTTCCTTTAAGTTAGCTGATCAAGCATAAGAAGCTTCTATAAAGAAATAAACTAAGGAAAGTTTTATATGGCTTGAGAAAATTTCTTGAGACCAAATTAATATATTTTTTCTTCATTACTTTGAGTCATTTTAAATTTGTTAATACAAAATTTAAGATGATTTACAGAGACAATTTAGCCAGCTTCCTTCCACCTTAATATAATGTTTTGTCTTCCCATTATCCTTTCTTTTCTTTATCTGTTGGTAGACGTAGAGTACTTCCATTTAGTTCATTGGAGGTGTATATTTTTTAAATTGAAATGTGCCCAGCCCCTTCAGCTCACACAGGAAACATGGACTCTTAAAAAAAAATGACTAGTAAATGCAGGAGAGGTGGATATCTGATACAGCGAAAGTGACGTATACACATTACAACTCTGGAGTACATATTAAAGTTGTGCTATTTCCAGTGGTAAATGTCTGACTTTTAAGACATTCTTTTAAATTTGTATCATTGTTAGGATGTTTTAATCAGTTGTTTTTTAATTCTGTGTAATATATGTAGCCCTTATCAAATTTATATCACCATATTTCTCCTTGTGTCCTAAGAGAATTCATGACAATTCGTAACCATAAATTGTTTTATATTGCTAGTATGTATATTTATTTTTACCCAATGGCTTTATCTGTTTCCCAAAATTTATTTGGGATTTGTTGAAAGCATTGTGTAACTTCTATAAACGGCTGTTTTCTTGTAACTGTCAGTGAAATGAATGTGTACATTGCTTTTTGTATTTCTTTGTTTTTTGGTTTTTGGTTTTTTTGTTTTGTTTTGTTTTGTTTTTTCCCAAGGGTTAACATAGAATGCTTTTTTTTTTTTAATTATCTTTGGCCAATGACTTTTTCAGCTAGATCTTACTTTCATTCAGCCTTCTAAAGAAGTTCGTTTCTCATTGTTTTGTTCCGTCAACTTGCCTGAAAAACAGAGACTTCATCTCATCAATGAAGAAAGCATTTCATTATTCCTACAAATCTTTCCTGCGAGCACAGAATTCTTCATAAGGACCAGATCTCTTCCATGTCTGTGTCAATCACATAAAGCTAAAATGTAAAGGACATTGAAGCCTTTATTTAATTGTACTTATATGATGGCGTTATATGCTACATCATTAGCTACTTAAGGTTTTCTGACCTGACTTCTCTTTGTCTTCCTAGGTATTTATTTGTTACCTCTTTTAATCTTGTGTATCTAAATTAACTTAGTTAATAATTACCCACCGAATAACTATGCCAAGCAACTAGTAAAGAATGTTTATTTTATTTCCCCTTATAGGGGAAGAGTGGACTGGGAACAAAAATGTATGGGCCAAAAGGCCTTAGGTTGTCATTCATTCACTTTCTTATTCCTCTCATGAGCTATATTTGAGTATGGTATTTTTTTAGTGCTGATGTGCTTATGTCATTACTTTTCATGTCTTCCCCTGAGTTGAAAGCCTACAACAAACCTGTATAAAATACATTTAAGAATCTTCAGAATAAGAACCACAAATTCAGTATCTTATATTTAAATGCTTCTTAAGTTATTATTGGAATCCAAGTCTCACTAGGACACATTTTTATAAAATGTTTCTCTGTATCTTGAATTGAAATTACTTCCCAGAGGCAAGAGTTCTGGGGATATAACACAATTTGAGATCTTTTTTTTTTTTTAAGAAAGGGCAGGGAGGGGAGGGAGAGAGTGACAAGTTTATACTAGTTAGGTTATGGTTTTCATATTCGTATTTTAAGATAGATTAGTTGGTTCCCAGATCTGACCATTAGAATTACTCTGAGGAGCTCTTAAAATAGATCCTGGGGCCTCTCCCTGGAAAAGTGTCCCACTGGATCTCCAGTGGGGCTTGAGAGTTCTGGATTGTTTTGTTTTGTTTTGTTTTGTTTCTCTGTTTCTTTAAATCTCCTGGTGATTCTAATAGCCAGTATTGGGAAATTGATGTTTTAGGTAAATGTGCACTCTTCTGATAGTAGGCAACAAAATTAAAGTTTACCAGACATCTCTTTGTGGTATAGAGTTGTTGTTGTTAATTGTTGTTTTTTAAACTGGGACCAGATTTCACAGCTTATTCAAGATACATGGAGGAATAATAAAGAAGATTGAGGCTACTGCTCATCATTTTTGTCTTTCATACTTTTTTAAGAGTTTGCATTTCTAAGACTTGGAATAGTTGACCATATACATAGCTAAAGGACATGTCTCTGAATGAGACCGTTATATATATTATCTGTAAAATATTTCACTATTTTTTTATTTTATAAATATTTGTAGAAATAAGCAATGAAATACTACTTTCATCTTTTCAAATGGGATTTTTCAAGGCAGTGTCCTTTTGGCATTAAGGTAGGGGGGAGTTAATATTCTCTCTGCCTGTTTCCACGTGAATCAATATAAAGTCATGGACATTTAAAAATCTCAATTTAATTTCTACTTATTTACTATGCAGTATAGCCATGAACAAGTAATGTAGATTTAGTTTTCTCATCTTCAAATGCCCTGGTCACCCTACCTCACAGGGTTGTTGTGGGGATAAATAAAACTTTTATGGAAGCACTTTTTTTTTTGATATTTTATCAGCCATCAGAAACAATATAATTTCTGTATTTGTATAGTGCTGTTTTTACAAGCCTGTCTTTTTTTTCACATTACTTTCCCTTTTGATGTTGAAAAATATAAAGGAAATTGAGACTTAAGAAAGCTGTGACTCAAGACTGCAGCTCCTCTGGGACACTTGAATTTAATCACTATAATCTATTTCCCAATGCCTGGGCTTTGTGTATGACTATGTTTGTGCATGAATATGAAGCTTTCTCAAGTTTGTAAGTCAGTTCAGCTAAAAAAATCTTATAAAATGTAAGGAATATACATTGGTACAAACTAGACCTACAGGTAATAATCCATTTTAAACTAGAAGGAAATGTCATGTTCTAGGTGTACCTCTATTTTACACAGTTTTCCCAATATCACAGAGCTAGGACTAGATTGTAGGTCTGTTAATTACCATTATTCACAGTAATGATTTAAAAGGAAGGGCATTCTTTATTGCTGGAACTACTGTGAGCAGAGGTGAAATTTGAGGATACCAACCAGAATAAAAGGAGTTGGTTTTTAAAAGGAAAGATAAGATGGCAAGAGTGAATCAGATTATAGTGAGCTAAGCTGAGGAATTTATGTACTTCGTGTATGGGCTAAAATACATACAAAAATACATGGGTTAAAGTAATGATTGCTATCACTATAGCATAATATTACTGATCCCATCCTAGTTTTTGTGATGAGACTGTGATAGCTGTTTTCCCTAAGCTCCAAAGGAATTTTATGCACACACAGTTTTGAAAGCAACTGCAGTAATCCTTGAGAAATAAATGATTACAGTATTAACTTTCTATTCAGGCAGATAGTTGACTTGAGAGCATGATCAATGAAAGCATGAAGTTCAGAGTCAAAATTAAATTCAAGTCCCTGAAAACCTAGCCACTTACTAAGCAAGAGGGTTCCTATCTTTCAGAATAGTAAGGATCAAATGAAACATCAAAGCATGTTATAAACCATAAAGCAATATACAAATAACAGAATGGAGATGTAGCTAATTTGAAGGAGGGATGAGAACTATACATGTGGTTTTGAGAGATATCAAGAAGGTAGGAATGAGCAGTAGAATCAGGTTATTGTAATAACCACAAAACCACAGGTGGTCAGGGAGGGTTTTTAAGAAACACATAGGCCGGGTGCAGTGGCTCAAGCCTGTAATCCCAGCAGTTTCGGAGGCCAAGGCAGAGCGAATCACGAGGTCAGAAGTTCGAGACCAGCCTGGCCAATGGTGAAACCCCGTCTCTACTAAAAATAGAAAAAATTAGCTGGGTGTAGTGGTGGGTGTCTGTAATCCCAGCTACTGGGGAGGCTGAGGCAGGAGAATCACTTGAATCTGGGAGCCAGAGGTTGCAGTGAGCTGAGATCGCACCACTGCACTCCAGCTGAAGCAACAGAGGAGACTCTCATAAAAGCTTGTAGTGGCCATCATAATAATCAAGTAGTGTTACACTTGATATATGACAATATTTGTTCAAGGCAGTGTTCAGTGGCCTTCCTAATGTCAGTAAAGAACCATTTTAAAAATAACATTACTGGCAGGGAGTGGTGGCTCATGCCTGTAATCCCAGTACTTTGGGAGACCAAGGTAGATGGATCACTTGAGATCAGTTCAAGACCTTCCTGGACAACATGGTGAAAACTGTCTCTACTAAAAATACCAAAATGAGCTTGGTGAGTGGGGCAAGGTGGCTCACACCTGTAATCCCAATACTTTGGGAGGCCAAAGTGGGTGGATCACCTCAGGTCAGGAGTTCGAGAACAGCCTGGTAAACATGGTGAAACCCTGTCTCTTACCAAAAATACAAAGATTAGCTAGGTGTGGTGGCATGCGCCTGTAATTCCAGTTACTTGGGAGGCTGAGGCAGAATCATTTGAACCTGGGAGGCGGAGGTTGCAGTGAGTGGAGATTGTGTCATTGCACTTCAGCCTGGGTGTCAAGAGTGAAACTGTCTCCAGAAAAGAAAAAAAAAATAGCTGTGCATGATGGGGGGCACCTGTAGTCCCAGCTACTCAGGAGGCTGAGGCAGGAAAATCACTTGAACCTGGAAGGTGGAGGTTGCAGTGAGCCAAGATGGCACCACTGCACTCCTGCCTGGGTGACACAGCAAGATTCTGTCTCAAAAGAAAAAAAAAATTACTACCACCGGTCTCAGTCACACTTGTAATCCCAGTACACTGGGAGGCCAAGGCAGGTGAATCAAGAGGTCAGGAGTTCGAGACCAGCCCCACCAACATGGTGAAAACCCATCTCTAGTAAAAATACAAAAATTAGCCGTGTGTGGTGGCGGGCTCCTGTAGTCCCAGCTATTCAGGAGGCTGAGGCAGGCAGAAGAATCACTTGAAGCAGGGAGGCGGAGGTTGCAGGGAGCCAAGATCATGCCATTGCACTCCAGCCTGGGTGCCAAGGCGAGACTCGGTCTCAAAAACAAACAAACGAAAAACAAAAACCACTACCTTACTATGTACTAAGCACCATGCCAGGCTCTGTGAATGGTAGAAAGTGGCAAAACAGACAATACCTTAAAATCTTGAGTTTAAAATCTGCCAGTAGAGAAAGTCAAGATCCTTAAAATGTTTGTTAAAGGACTAAAATTAGGCTTGGCTGTGGGGAGAGGAGGCTCAGTTAGGGGAGTATTTGATCAGGTGTGTATTTTAAAAGACCACTTTGGAAATAGAGTGGGTGGGTGGGAGGCCAGTTAGGAGTTATACAACTCTCTGTGCAAAGTATTCCCTTTCTCTAAGATGGTTAACGCATTGGGTGATAGCATTATAGTGGACAATCAGGTCAGGAGATTGTTAAGGTTTTGGGGAGAGTATGGCTTGTGTGGTTTACTGAGAGCTTACTAACCATGTGGATTTTAGGCACTCCCTGAGGAAGGCATGTTTTTTCTGCTGGCCAGACAGGAATGGGAAGGTATCCTAGGATTTTATGGCACCTTGTAAAAAAGTAAGTATGGAAAAGTATATGGAAGTTGAATGAAGTCTCATTTCTGAAGACTCATGGGGGTAAGGTTTTGGTTTTTCCTTTTGGTTTAAAATGAAAAATTTCATTTAACTTTATCAAATCATATAAATAAATAAAAAAATATTTATTAAGATGGAATCTCCCTGTCACCCAGGCTGGAGTGCAATCATGTGATCTCAGCTCACTGCGACCTCTGCCTCACAGGTTCCAGATATTCTACCACCTCAGCCTCCCTAGTCACTGGGACTACAGGCATGCACCATGACATCCAGCCAATTTTTGTATTTTTAGTAGAGACAGGGTTTCACCATGTTGGCCAGACTGGTCTCGAACTCTTGACCTCAAGTGATCCACCCGTCTGCCTCAGCCTCCCAAAAGTATGAGATTACAGGCATGAGCCACTGTGCCCCACTAAAAAAAATTTTTTTTTTTTTTTTTGAGACAGAGTTTTGCTCTTGTTACCCAGGCTGGAGTGCAATGGCGCAATCTCGGCTCACCGAACCTCCGCCTCCTGGGTTCAGGCAATTCTCCTGCCTCAGCCTCCTGAGCAGCTGGGATTACAGGCACGCGCCGCCACCATGCCCAGCTAATTTTTTGTATTTTTAGTAGAGATGAAGTTTCACCATGTTGACCAGGATGGTCTCGATCTCTTGACCTTGTGATCCACCCGCCCCGGCCTCCCAAAATGCTGGGATTACAGGCGTGAGCCACCGCACCTGGCCTTGAAAAAAATTTTTTTTACATGTACTCTTTTTCCCAAGAAGTCATTTTAAAAAATGTAATGACTCCATCATTTTGCAGTTTTATAAATAGGGGTTTTGACCCTCTTTGCAATTAAAACAATCTGCTTTTCAGCCTTAACCTAGTCCATCCTTATAAGATTTTGAGTATGATGCTTAAGGTACTTTCTCTTAAAAAGAAGCTATAAGGCCAGGCGCGGTGGCTCATGCCTGTAATCCCTGCACTTTGGCAGGCTGAGGTGGGTACATCACCTGAGGTTAGAAGTTTGAGACCACTCTGGCCAACATGATGAAACCCCATCTCTACTAAAAATACAAAAAATTAGCTGGGCATGGTGGTGCACATGCCTGTAATCCCAGGTACTCAGGAGTCTGAGGCAGAAGAATTGATTGGACCTGGGAGGCAGAGGTCGCAGTGAGCGAAGATCGCACCACTGCACTCCAGCCTAGGCCACAAGAGCAAAACTCCGTCTCAAAAAAAAAAGCTATAAGCAGCTCTGCTTCATTTGTGCTTTTTATTTACTCTTCTATTGCTTTAATTTTTTTTTTTTTTTTTTTTTTTTTTTTAAGACAAAGTCTCGCTGTCACCCAGGCTGGAGAGCAGTGGCAGGATTTCAGCTCACTGAACCTCCACCTCCCGAGTTCAAGTGATTCTCCTGCCTCAGCCTCCTGAGTAGATGGTAGAACTGCTGACCTCAGGTCATCTACCCGCCTCTGCCTCCCAAAGTGCTGGGATGACAGGCATGAGCCACTGTGCTTGGCCATGATGAAACTTTTTTTGAGATGGACTGGCTCTGTTGCCCAGGCTGGAGAGTGGCGGCATGATCATGGCTCACTGCAACCTCAACCTCTCAGGCTCAAGTGATCCTCCCACTTCAGCCTCCTGAGTAGCTGGGACTACAGGTGTGTGCCACCATGCCTGGCTAACTTTTTATTTTTTGTAAAGATGGGGTCTCGCTATGTAGGCTGGTCTTGAACTGGGCTCAAGCGATCCTACTGCCTCCTCCTCCCTAAGTGCTGACATTTTAGACATGAGCTACTGTGCCTGGCCTGGAATTTCTTGACAGAAGTTTTAATGTTAATTTGTTAAAGAACATTGATTACCTAGTCTGCTCATCTGTAAAATGGGAATACTGTCACTGTATTTGTAATTATAGGGCTCCCCTAGAGACTAACATGTGAATCACAAGTTTGTTGTTTTTTTTGTTTTTTGTTTTGAAATGAAGTCTCACTCTGTTGCCCAGGCTGGAGGCAGTGGCACAATCTCGGCTCACTGCAACCTCTCCCTCCCAGGTTCAAGTGATTCCCTTGCTTCAGCCTCCAGAGTAGCCGGGATTACAGGACTACAGCACCACGGCTAGCTAATTGTTGTATTTTTAGTAGAGACAGGGTCTCACCAGGCTGGCCAGCCTGGTCATGAACTCCTGATTTCAGGTAATCCTACCGCCTCAGCCTCCCAAAGTGCTGGGATCACAGGCATGAGCCACTGCACCTGGCACAAGTTTTATGGACTAAATGAGGCCCCTAACACATAGTTCTAGACCCTTGTTTTCCTGCTTCCTCATTTGAAAAAGCAGTATGCACACCACTGTAAACAAATTCTCAATTTCTGCTTCGAAAGCGATGCTGCATTCACAAAGCCCATGTATCTTTCCATAGTACCTTCAACCCACATTCCCCAATTTTTGTCTTTTTTTTTCTTTTGACAGAGTTTTGCCCAGGCTGGAGTGCAGTGTTGCAATCTCGTCTTACTACCACCTCCACCTCCCGGGTTCAAGCCATTGTCCTGCCTCAACCTCCCAAGTAGCTGGAATAGCTGGAATGAGAGGCATGAGCCACCACACCTGGCTAATTTTTGTATTTTTAGTAGAGACAGCCTTCACCATGTTGTCCAGGCTGGTCTTGAACTCCTGACCTCAAGTTATCTGCCCACCTCAGCCTCCAAAGTGCTGGGATTACAGGCATGAGCCACAGCGCCCAGACTTCTTCTTCGCCATCTTTGTTTTTTACATAATTATTTATTGAGAGCCTCCTCTCCCTGCCTTTGTAGTCTCTAGATCACTTTTTCTGCTTGTATATTTTGCACGGAAGCCCAAGAAAGATAGCTGGGGCAGGCACTGCATATTGTTCAATGAGACTCATAATGAGTGGCTGTAACTGTATTCCTTGCTGCAAGAACATGGCCAGCAGATCCAGCTCCTCATATAGTGCCTTCACCTGGGCCACATTCTTGGCTTCCTTCTGCCTGTAATTCTCCTTCAGGATCTGGTACTGTTCTGGGAGTGGCCCGTTGCAGACACTGAACCACCAGCCAGCTGCATGTGTTGTCCTGGATGTCAGTGCCAACTCTGACGGTCACACTGGGGTCCCCAAAGAGGTCAAGGTAATCATCCTGAATCTGAAAGAACGCTCCTATCTCCAGCAGGATCTTCTTGGCATTGGGGTGCTCCTTCTCACCATCAATTCCTGCCATGGACATGGCTACAGCTACAGGAAGGTAGGAGTTGAAACCTATTTTGTGCCTGACAATAGATTTGTACCTCTTTTCATGAATCTGCCAAGATCTGCATTGCCCTGGGGGGCTGTGATGAGGTCCAGGGTCTGCCCAATCTCAGTCTGATAGGAACTCTGCAGAAAGAGCTCAGTCAGATTCAGGTAATAGGGCTGCTCCTGGCAGTAGAGCTTCAGTAGGCGGTAGATACGTGCTTCCAGAAGCACAGCATCATAGATGGCATCCAAACCCATGCCCAGCTTCTGATGCCAGCAGATCTGTCCCTGGCAGGTGAGGGATGAATCCATGATGTAACCTGCCATCAGGAAGAAAGCTTATAGCAGTTCCACACACCAGCCACAGTCAGGGCCACTGGAGACTATCAGCATCTTGTTTCCACAGCTCCACCAGCTCCCAGAATGCTACCAGCACCGTCAAACCGCAGTGATACTTGCCTCCAATGGCACTGTACTCCAGGAAACTCCTTGAGTCAGGCAATAGCATCTCCTGTCTCTGGGTGCCCCATCTCATCTTCAGTCAGCACCCTAATGATCTGGGAGAAGTGCTGAATGAAATCCTGCTTGCCTTTTTTTTTTTTTTTTGAGATGGAGTCTTGTACTGTCACTAGGCTGGAGTGCAGTGGTACAATCATGGCTCACTGCAGCCTCCACCTTCTGGATTCAAGCGATTCTCCTGCCTCAGCCTCCTGAGTAGCTGGGACTGCAGGTGTGTGCCACCATGCCCAGCTAATTATTTTGTGTTTTTAGTAGAGATGGGGTTTCACCATGTTGGTCAGGATGGTCTCAATCTCTTGACCTCATGACCTGCCTGCCTTCCCTAAGTGCTGGGATTACAGGTGTGAGCCTCTGGGCCAGGACCAAAATCCTACTTTTCTTGCATATAAACATCTGATTTCTGGTCTCCATTCATTCTGAGGGAGGAGCAAAGGGATCTGTTCCTGGATGTGGGTTCCTGCTCCTTTTTTTTTTTTTTTTTTGAGATAGAGTTTTGCTCTTGTTGCCCAGGCTAGAGTGCAATGGTGCAATCTCGGTTCATTGCAACCTTTGCTTCCCAGATTCAAGAGATTCTCCTGCCTCAGTCTCCTGAGTAGCTGGTATTATAGGTGCCTGCCAACACACCCAGGTAATTTTTTTATTTTTAGTAGAGACAGCGTTTTGCCATGTTGGCCAGGCTGGTCTCAAACACCTGATCTCAGGTGATCTGTCTGCCTTGGCCTCCCAAAGTGCTGGGATAAGCCACTGCGCCTGGCTTTTTTTTTTTTTTTTTTTTTTTTTAGATAGAGTGTCTCTAAGGCTGGAAAGCAGTGGTACAATCTTGGCTCACTGCAACTTCTGTCTCCCTGTTTCAAAGAATTCTCCTGCTTTAGCCTCCTGAAGAGCTAGGATTGCAGGCATGTGCCACCACACCCAGCTAATTTCTGTAATTTTAGTGTTCTCGGGGTTTCATCATGTTGGCCAAGCTGGTCTTGAATTACTGACCTCAAATGATCTGCCTGCCTCAGCCTCCCAAAGTGCTAGGATTACAGGCATGAGCCTGTAACAGGCAGGCCTGACCAGTTTTCAGGTTTTTGACTTAAGCAACTAGGTAAGTGTCACTCAATCTCCAAAGGCATCATCTATCCTCTATTTCTCCCTTCCCCTCCTCTTCCATATCCAGTCAGAAACTACGTTAGTCTGGGTTCTCCGGAGAAACAGAACCAATGGGATGTGTATATATAGAAAGAGATTTATTTTAAGGAATTGGCTCACATTATTCTGGGACCTGACAAGTCTGAAATCTGTAGGGTAGGCAAACATGCTGGAGACCCAGGGAGATTTGATGCTGCAGTCTAAAGGCTGAATTGCTTCTTCCTAAGGGTCTCTTCTTAATTTGGACTGACTGGAAACGGCTCACCCTCTTTACAGAGGGTAATCTATTTTAATCAACGTCTACTGATTTAAATGTTAATCACATCTAACAATGCATTCATAGCAACAACTAGACTAGCGTTTGACCAAAAACTGAGTAACATGGGTACCATAGCCTAGCCACGCTGATAAATAAAATTAACGATTATAGTCACTAAGTTCCACTGACTCTGACTGTGGGTAACCACCTGCCCCCATATAGGCACCGAGGAATGAGAGCTAAGCAGAACCCTGGCACAGTTAGGGCTTGAGGAATATCTCACTTTATAGTGTTACTACTCAGCTATTTCCTTTTATATAATCCTTTACATAATCATATATTGGTTTATAGAAATAGGGCTTGAAGAATCCCTTTATATAACCCTCTATATATAATCATATAATAGTTAATAGTATGAGTGCCTAAAGAATATTTCCCTACATATATACCTATAATTATATCTTAGTTCATAATCGGAGGAATGCCTAGAGTGGACACAGTACAGAGCATGAATTAAGGAATAAGCAGCTTATAATCAGAGGAATGCCTAGAGCAGACACAGTACAGAGCATGATTTAAGGGAAAAACAGTTATGGCAGGACAAGAATCCATGGCCCAGATGGCAGCGTTCAGTATCGTAAAGATACCCACTGTATGGGAGGCTTGGGGCGAGAGCCACTCCTCCTGATAAAAGAGTTGTAGGACCTTGCTCCAGTTCTTGTGGAAGGCTACTTTCAGAAGGGTAATCCACCTTGGTGACTGTGAACTTTATCAGCTCTTGCTACTGTGCTGCTTGAAAAGCATCTTCCCATAGAACCCATTGGAAGCTGCCAGAAGGTGGCAGTAACCCTGACAGCTCTGTCACTGCTGTGTGACTTAAAGCATCCTCCTATAAATCTTCTTAGAAGTAGTTTGACCATAGACAGAAGTATTGCACACTACTCACGGCCCACCTTCAAACCTCGGTGACCTAATGGGGGTGGACCCCTTACTGCGCACGACCCTTGCCTTCGTGGGAACAGGTCCCTTGCTGTGCACTGTCCACCTCCTGCCCTAGGTGACCTAATGGGGGTGGACCCCATGTTTTATTGCTCACGACCCTATCACTATCCTTAAAGATGATTTCACTCACTGCCCTGCCCCCTAACCTATACACAATAAATACTCATGCTTCTGGACATTCGGGCCCTCGCCTGACTCTGCTTATAGGTGGTGTGGCCCCCCAAGCCCAGCTGCGTTTTTCTTGTACTTCCGTGTCCTTTCTCTTTATATTTCTCGGATCCTGCGCCTCAGCACAGCATAAGGCTCACCCCACGACCCTGTGGGGCCATCAGCCCTACATCTGACCTTTAGATATTTCTCAAATTGGTTTCTTCTTATCCATTGTCATTGCCTTAATTTAGGCTTTTGTTCTCATTTAATTAATTCATAAAATACTTAAGTATTAGGCACTATGCCAAATATTGGAGTTACAATTGTGAGTAAGATAGATTGTGTCCCTAGGGACTTAAATTCCATCCTTTTCTTGCCTTCTTTCTTGCCTCCTTCCAGTTCACTTTTTTTTTGGTCATGTCACCTTGATGCCCAGGCTGGAGTGCAGTGGCCAGAACGTGGGCAACCTCCACTACCTCAGCCTCCTGAGTAGCTGGGACCACAGGACCACAGGTGCACACTACTACGCCTCGCTATTTTTTTTTTTTGTAGAGATGGGGGTCTCCCCATGTTGACCAGGCTGGTCTTGAACTCCTGGGCTTAAGCGATCCTCCCCGTTCTGTCTCCCAGAGTGCCATGGTTACACATATAAGCCACTGTGCCTGACTCCAATCCACCTTTTTAATGGCTGCCTGTAGATCATGGCCTCTCACATTTTTTTTTTTTAGGCTGCAGGCACATGCCACCATGCCAGGGTTGTGGGTAACACCCCCTATGCGCACCAAGGAAGAATTGTCCAGACCCCAAGCACAGTTAGTGTCTGAAGAATATCTTAGTTTATAGAGTTATTACTCAGCTATTTCCTTTATATAATCCTTTATATATAATCATATATTAGTTTCTAGAATTAGTACCTGAGGTATAACTTACTGCTTACATATACCTAGCTTATATAATCATACTTAATACTTATATCTAGCATACTTAGTTCTATATAATCTTTCTTTTCTTTCTTTTTTTTTTTTAATTTAATTTTTTAACAAGAAAAGATGGGGTTTCACCATCATGGCCAGGCTGGTCTTGAACTCCTGACCTCAGGTGATCCACGCACCTCAGCCTCCCAAAGTGCTAGGATTACAGGGGTGAGCCACCACGCCCACCTATATAATCTTTCTATACTCATATAGGTATTGTAGTCAGAGCTGTACTGACATTTAGTACTGATTTATAGAATCCTTCTATATAACCATATAGTAGTTTGTAGTAGGAGGAATGCCTAGAGCAGTCACATAACAGAAGCAGTACATGGGAAAACAGCCAGACCAGGACAAGAACCAAAGACCCAGGGGGTGGCGTCCCTGCCTGAAACGGCATACATTGTATGGCAGGCTTGGAGCAAGAGCCTCTCCTCCTGATAAAGGAGTTGTAGTACCTTGCATCCAGTTCCTGTGGAAAGTAGGCCTCAGGACTGAGAAAATAACTGAGGGAGAACCCCTCTGGTGTGACCAGTCATGGCAGCTGTACACCCTGTCAGTCTTTTCTCACTTCTGTGCTAGCTCAAATCATCCTCCCATAAATATCTTAAGAGAAGAGCACAAGTCTGTCAGCTCCCACTGCATTGGCTTACAGTATCCTTCTATTAGAAATCCTTTGAGGTCTCCAGCCCCCAGAAAAGAAATGTTGTGCATGACACCTGTCACACACAGCCCACCTCCTTGCCTTGGTGACCTAATGGGGGTGGACCCCTTTTCTGTACACGACCCTCTACTACTGTAGAGGCCCCCTACTTCTCACAGCCCACCCCTCTGCCCAAGTGACATAATGGGGTGGCCCCCTCACTTGTGACTCACGTGATTATGTATGCCCTATTACTAAGCCTATAGATGATGACCTCACTCATGACCCTGCCCTCTGCTTGTACCTAATAAATACAGATGCTTCTGGGCATTTGGGACCTCCGCTGATCTCCACTCACAGGTGGCATGGCCCCCAAAGTCCAGATGCTCTTCACCAGTGTCCTGTCTCTTTGCTTCTTGGATCCTGCACCTCAGCACAGCATAAGGGTCACCACGACCCTGTGGGGCCCAACAGCCCTACAGGGGTAACTTTTGTATTTTTAGTAGAGACAGGTTTTCTCCCCATTGGCCAGGCTGGTCTCAAACTCCTGACCTCAGGTGATCCACCCGCTTCGGCCTCCTGAAGTGCTGGGATTACAGGTATGAGACACTGGGCCCGGCCGAAGGACCATCTTTATAAAATGTTTATTTGTAGACTCTGAAAAGATACACCAGAAAAGGGGAACAATGGTTACAGCTAGAAAGAACAGAGTGAAGCGGCTGATAATTGTACCTTGTTGGTTTTTTTTTTTTTGAGACGGAGTTTCGCTTTTGTTACCCAGGATGGCGTGCAATGGCGCGATCTTGGCTCACCGCAACCTCCGCCTTCTGGGTTCAGGCAATTCTCCTGCCTCAGCCTCCTGAGTAGCTGGGATTACAGGTACACACCACCATGCCCAGCTAAATTTTTGTATTTTTAGTAGAGATGGGGTTTCACCTTGTTGACCATGATGGTCTCGATCTTTTGACCTCGTGATCCACCCGCCTCGGCCTCCCAAAGTGCTGGGATTATAGGCTTGAGCCACCGCGCCCGGCAATTTTGGTATTTTTAGTAGAGACGGGGTTTCACCATATTGGTCAGGTTGGTCTGGAACTCCGACCTCAAGTGATCTGCTCGCCTCAGCCTCCAGAAGTGCTGGGATTACAGGCGTGACGCACCGCATCCTGCCCCCGTATCTACCTTTTCATCACACGAATGTTGTACTAAGTTCCTGTATTACATATTTGAAAATAAATTGCGAATACAACAAAACAAAATCCATGAAATGGCTAGCCCTTTAAATTTCTGCGGGGGAGCCCAGTGTGGCCCAAGGGCGGAGTTTAGCCCATCTTGCCCTTTCTGGTTAGTGTACCCGTTCCGTTTATCTCCGACTGCGCCAGTCAGTCAGGTCAGGGACCACTGGAGTTTTTTCTATAGGACACGCACTTGAGCAAATGTCACTTGCTCTCTCCAACTTCAGTTTCGCTAGCGCCTACCTCAGGAAGCCTCCCCTCATCTCCCGGCCCCTGCCGCCGCTAATGTTATCCTTTTACATTCAACCTCATAATGCTGCTTTCTGTTGCAATCACAGTGTCGAAATTTATTCACATGTCTATCTTTGCTACTTGACTGAGGACAAAGATACACCTTATACCTAGCGTAGACTCAGGAGGTCCGAAATTGTTCTGCGAAAGAAAAAAAATGTGCTGGCTTCAAAGGGGCTCACAGGAAGGGAAAAGCCTGGAAGACTGAGACTCTCTTCGATCCCTTCATTACTAACGCAAGGCAAACATGCCAGGGACATGCGGCTCTCCCCTCTAGTTCCTGCATCTACGTCCGACGCCCGCCGTATTGTCTCGGAAGTCCGGCCACAGCCCCCACCGGCGGGCATGGCCTCAGAGCCCTCTTCTGAGTGCGGCATGGGTATTCGCCGGCGGCCATGGACGGTGATCACACTGACGAGAGGGACGGCGCACCCTCGGGTCTGAGCGGGGTAGGCGTTGGCAGGGGAGGGGCGACGAAGACTGGCGAGGTTCAGGCGCCAGGCAAAGGACCGCTCTATTAACTTCCCGGCACTTAGGTTTCCTGCTCGGGGCCGAGAGTCTGCAACCTTTCTCCCCGCTCCACGAAGTCCAGTACTAACCTGCGTCGTAGGGACCTGCACGTCGTACCCAGAATTCCTATGCCCCCTGCGCCCTCTCTCCGCTCCTCCTTGCGCTCCTCCCTGCGGCCTTCCCTCCGCCCCTTCCTGCACCCCTCCATCCGCCCCTCCGCGCCGCCGACCGCGGTCTACGCCCCCTTCTTGCCTGCGCGCGTCGCCGCAGCCTCCTGAGGGGGCGTGGCCTCAGCTCGGCGCCCGGTCAGCCACGGTCCCAGCCTGCTTCGCGCTGGCCAACGAGAGCAAACCCAGTGACTCACCTCCGCGGCGCTAAGTCCTCCCTAGCTCTCCGCCTCATACACGCTCACACCCGGCTCGAGATGGCGGCGGCGGCGGCGGCGGCGGCCGGGGGGGACTCCGACTCCTGGGGTGAGGAGAAGTTCCGGGGGCAGGGCCCGCCCGGGCTGTTGCCGACCCCACGCTGTGGCAGGCACTAACGCGGCTTGCTCTCTTCCGTAGACGCGGACGCATTCTCCGTGGAAGACCCAGTGCGGAAGGTTGGGGGCGGCGGCACTGCCGGCGGGGACCGCTGGGAAGGCGAGGACGAAGACGAGGACGTCAAGGTGGGTGCGGGCTAGGGCAGCGGGGAGCGCAGGAGCGGTTTGACGCTGTCGCTGGCCGACTATGGGCCCTGGGGGGCCGCCCGGGCCTGCGGGCTGTGGATCCAGCCGCGAGCCTAGGGCCCGGCGATGCTCTCTTTACCTCCGCTTGCCGGCCATGTGGGCCGAAGACTGGCAGCGTGGCCTTCCGGACTCTCTCGCCGGTTGAGGGTCTGCGCTCCGGCCTTTATCTCACCTGCCGGCTGGCGACGAAAAGTGACAGCATCGGCCTGGTCGGCCCACGTGCAAGCTTCGCGGTCCCGAGCCTCTCGCCTGAATGAGACCGGGAAGTTGGGAATTGAGCCCCGTAGCTTATCCATATGGAAAGTTTTGAAACTCGCCTGCTTTTTCGAGCTCAGGTCATCCCAGGGCCAGTAACTCATTTGTGACCCTGACGTCTACTTATACAGTTTGTTCGAGGGATTAAATGAGTGAAATACTGTAGTTGAATTTCAACCTTTTTTCCCCCCACACTGGACAGCTAAAACAGTAAAGTGAAATAACTTTTGGCTCTTCCTTCCCCCACTCTGTGATAAAAAGGATGAACTGAACACTGAGCCCACAGTTAGTGGACAGAAACCTGGGTAGTCCACACCGTGACCCGAAAAATGGGAGAGATGACAGTTACTCATAGACATATGTATGACACCTAAGGAAATATTGAAGGTTTGGTGGTTGTAGTAGATGACTGTCCTGTGGTTTTTGTTGTTGTTTTGTCTATGCCTTGTAGATAATAATTTTTACCTCAGTCGTTTGATTTTGAAAACTCCGAAGGGCTCATTATACAGCATTAAGTGACATTTACTTCTGCGAGTGTTTTGTTTTTTTGTTTCTTTTTTTAACAGTAGTTACAGGTCTCAAGTCCAGAATGTTAAGTTTCTTACTGGGTTCTCAAAATCTTGTTATGTTTGTGCAGATAAAGTTTTGTGTGAAATGGAAAATTTTCTTTTGTGGTTTTGCTTAATTTAGTGAAGTTTTTTCTCCCAATTTATAAGCACTAATGAAGAACGCTACAAATCCTTTGCCTCCGCTGAAAATTTAAGCTAGATAATCGCTATGAACTTAATAGGGCTGTTGCTTTGAGTTTTTCCCATTTCTCCCCAGTCAGATGAGGTTGGATGTGTGGATGTCCAACTTATTGACAGCCTAGGTTCAAGAACGTTGTAAGCTTTGCACACATTGAAGTTAATAAATCGACTGATTATTGTTTGAAAGCACTTAGATGCTTTATTTACATGTTGTAGAAACATGGGACTAGACTGTGTTACCAACCTCATTAAAGATAGTAGTTACCCCCCTACATTGTAGCAATTTTCACTTTTGAGTCTTGGGTTCATATTGATCCTTTCATTTTTTTTCCGTGCATATAGGAAGTAACAGTTAAGACGTCTATTATGAAATTTGGGAATAAATTAGCAAATGCAGAGAAAAGATTAGAGATATTAGGAAAGAAGTTGCAGAAAATGAAGTTTTAGTGGAATGGTCTAGACTAATGTCATGGAATAACCTCCCTGGGATTAAGGAATCTAAGTGGTGTTGATCCTGATGAATATAATTCTGATGACTTGCAACAAGTTTGGAGATTTAGAAGTTATAAGGGACCACAAAGATCATCTTGTCCAATTGCTCTTTTAGTCCTAAATTTCTTTTTTTTTTTTTAATTTAAGCGAATTGCATCTATCTATCTATCTGTGTCTGTCTATCTATCTAATCCTTTGAGACAAGGTCTTACTCTGTTGCCCAGGCGGGAGTGCAGTGGCTTGATCTCTGCTCACTGCAACCTCCGCCTCCCAGGTTGAAGTGATTTTCCAACCTCAGCCTTCCTAGTAGCTGGGATTACAGGTGTGTGCCACGGTGCCCAGCTAATTTTTGCTTTTTTTTTTTTTTTGTAGAGTCAAGGTTTCGCTGTGTTGCATAGGCTCGTCTCAGATTCCTGAGCTCAAAGTGATCTGCCCGCCTTCACCTTCAAAGTGCTGGGATTACAGATGTGAGCCACTGTGCCTGGCCTATTTATTTCGAGGGGTTATGAGACTGGCTAATTTTTGTGTTTTTGGTAGAGATAGGGTTTCCCGATGTTGCCCAAGCTGGTCTTGAACTTTTGCGCTCAAGTGATCTATCCTCTTAGGCCTCCCAGAGAGCTGGGGTTATAGGCATGAGCCGCCACACCTGGCCATATCACCAAATTTCTGAATTCTTATGTTTTTGTACTTTTTGTGAGGAGCTGCAGACAAGGCTTAGTTTCCATGAGGTCTTCTGTTTATGTCAAAAGTACTTAACCTTTAAAAATACAGGTTTACTGTCATTTGTAATGTCCTGGGAAATGAAAGGAAAACTGATGTCTTTGTTATTATAATTTGCTCCAGCATTTTATTATCATTTAGTAGACCTAGTATTTTGCTGTTCTTGACTTTTCAAATAGCTATCTGGCAGTGGCAGAAGTAGACTTAGGTGAAACTGTACAACTGTTAATATATATGGAGGGAAAAGGCTATACTTTTTCCCAGTTAAAAAGATGAGAACTTGGGAGCAGACTTTTCCATCACCCTGGCTTTATTTACCTTTTTTACCATCCTGATAGTTGTGAAGAGGCAATGGAAAGAATTGTTCACTTGGCATATATGACTCCTTCCCCATTGCTGATATGATATGTAGGATGTGTTGACTGAGAAGGCAGTGAGTACCTACTGGAAGCAAAGACAACATAACTTTTACTCTATTTTACTAGTCTCCCAGCATGTTAGAAGCTACACTTATTCAAAGAGTGCGGCATTTGGAGAAACTTATAGCTATATTCAGCCATCTCAGGCATTTGCTTCTGTAACCTTACAGCATTTCTTTTAAAAGAACATGAAGAGGCTGAGGCAAGAGGATTGCTTGAACCTAGGAGTTTGAAGCCAGCCTGGGCAATGTGGCAAGAGCCCAACACATTTAAAGAGAGAGCGATCCTAAGGAACAGACTTAGTTGAGTCTGTCTCATCCTACTTGTTCACCCTCTGTTAGGATCCTATTCTAATAAATAGTTTAAATCTACCAGATAAGGACATTTTTCAAGTGTTGGAAACAACTTCTGAAGAACAGGATCTGTAATTTTTTTTTTTTTGAGGTGGAGTCTGACTCTGTTGCTAGGCTGGAGTGCAGTGGCGCGTTCTCGACTTACTGCAACCTTTGCCTCCCTGGTTCAAGCAATTCTCTTGCCTCAGCCCCCTGAGCAGCTGGGACTACAGGTGTGTGCCACCATGCCCAGCTAATTTTTGTATTTTTAGTAGAAACGGGGTTTCACCATGTTGGCCAAGATTGTCTTGATCTCCTGATCTCATGATCTGCCCGCCTCAGCCTCCCAAAGTGCTGGGATTACAGGTGTGAGCCACCGCACCTGGCCAACAGGAGCTGTTTTACAGAAATGTGAAATTACTCAGAAGGTGGGCATTTTGCCAGAAAATGGGTATTTTGAAGAGAGTGAGTGTATGTATGTGTGTGTGTAACTTACAGAAAATTTCAAACATGCAGTAGAAACATTTAATAAGTCAGTGACCAATCTTGTTTCCTCTATCCCCATTTTCCTCCTCCAACCAGATTATTTTCAAGAAAATCTCAATCGTATCATTTCATACTCTGCCAGTTTCTTTTCTTTTTTCTTTTTTTTTTTTTTTTGAGATGGAGTTTTGCTCTTGTTACCCAGGCTGGAGTGCAGTGGCGCAATCTCGGCTCACTGCAACCTTCGCCTCCTGGGTTCAGGCAATTCTCCTGCCTCAGCCTCCTGAGTAGCTGGGATTACTGGCACGTGCCACCGTGCCCAGCTGATTTTTTGTATTTTTAGTAGAGACAGGGTTTCACCATGTTGACCAGGATGGTCTCGATCTCTTGACCTCATGATCCACCCGCCTCGACCTCCCAAAGGGCTGGGATTACAGGCGTGAGCCACCGCGCCCAGCCTACCCTGCCAGTTTCTTTTGTAAGCTAGCAAGTTTTGAGTTAGGAAGCATGTTTGTTATTGATAAATATTTTAGTGTAGTTGTCACACTGGATCATTGTAAATAAATAAACCCCTTGTTCAGTGTTCAGTGTCTTGATACTGTTTAGCCAGGAATTTAAAGCAGATTGATAACTGTCCTGAATATGAGACAGGTAGGCATTGAGATGGACCTCAGCTGAGTGCTGAGCCATTGTAGTATGTTAAAAGCTTAATGAATTGAATTAAATGAAGTAGAATTTACTAAGGCAGGCACCTTGGCTTGTAGACACCATGATCTCATTGCAAAGTTCTAAGTTCTCTCAGAGTAGAACTGCATAGCTTACAGAACATGTTTTTTTTTGTTTTTCAGCAAGGTATTATGCTTTACCTAAATCAAATTATTTAAAGAAAAAAGGAGGAGTATATGTTAGTTCCTGGGCTATTACTGTGGGGCAAAAGTTTCATTGCTCTTTTGAAGTGACTTCTATTTGACAGTCTATAAATACATCTTGCTTAACTTGGAAAGCATTTTCAGCCCGAAATATGTTTTCATTGCATGTGATATAATGTAGTTGTATATTATGATGACAGAACCAGCCAACTGCTGGCCATACTGTTAGAAATAAAAAGAAAGT